GTATGTTTCTAATGTTGGAAGCGATAGACTATAATTTTGCCATGTTCTGGTAATCTGAAGCAAGTCACTAGGTCCAGCCCACATTTAAGGGGAGGGGATTGCCTAGGGACATCAATCTGAGGATGTGGTTATTATTGGGGGCCATTTTAGTTGTTGCCTACCATAATTATATTGTTGTATACTGGGTAAAATTGTTTCGCTTTTACAGATTAGGAAGTGAGGAAGCAAAGAAGTTAAATTATTTGTTTCAAAGCCTGGGCGCTAGCATACAATGTAACTAGTTTTTCAGCTTGGATCTTCTTCATCCAAGAAGACTATTTGAAACTTTGAGGTCAAAGCAAATGCTAGAATGTAAGCTGCATAAAGGAGATGTTCATTGCAATCATATCACCCTGCATAGTGGCAGGAATGTAATAAGTATTTCATAAGTGCTTGTAGTGAATGAATGATTAAATGTCAATGAGAGTATGACTTTCTTAGCTGTTCCTATTCTCGTTTTCTTTGTGTTTATTTCCCTGACAACAGAAAAAGAGATGGTGCAAAGTAACAAACACATTTAAATTTTAGAAGTTCATTAGCTTGCTTATTTATATTACTGCAACTTGTTTAAAAATGGTTGCTTTGTTTTCCTAAGACTCAAGACTAAAGTAATGTAACACATTTGACAAAGTAGTTATAATTAAAATTTGTTCTTTATTTCTGAAAAAGATGTAAAAAACAATGTATCTAGCTAAATATCCATGTTGCCTAAGAAATAGAATTCAATTTTTAATGCAAGCTGAGAGAGAATAACATCATTTTCCTAATTTATTTTTGTTACCAGTTCTTAGCTTATAGTAGGTCTTAAGAATTCAGTTGCCTAAATGTTGTATGTCTGTTTATTTCCTTTTAGCAATATGCCTGGCTTTGAGAATTGTCTTTGGAGTTTGGGCATAAACTAATATTATGTTTAGCTTTCCTTAGGTTCCTCTTTTTATTTGAGGGAAAAAAAAAATTGTTTGCTGTCTTTGAGGCAAGCGCTGTCATTGCTTCTCCCCACTAAGTACCAACCTTGAGTGTTTGAATCAGTGTGATCTTGATCTTTGCCTTGTTAGTGTGGTTGTTGATACCTTTGTCAGGCCACACGGCTCTGTCTGTAGGGAGTAGTTCATATCATAGCCTGTGATGTCATAACTTTTCAAAAGGGCAGAACTGTGCTAGATCCATAGTAGATTTTCTATAGTTCATTCTTGCCATCAACCTCATTTAGCTAGTCTTAAGTGTTACCAGTTGGTATAAAGACTTAAATATTCGTTAATAGCACTATGCTGTCTCATCTCCCAGGGCGTGGTAGTGTACATTCCTCTGATGCAAATGATGCATGTTAATTCTTACTCCCACTAAAACCACATCATTTCTCCCTTTCTGCTTTTATCCCCTTTTACCGACCAAGAGGTGGCAGTTGTGGGAACTTGCACAGTCTTCAGTGTTTGTTACTTCTCTCTTTACCTTGTCAATACCTGAGCGACCATTCCACCTTTGTTGGCCTGCTTGCCTCCAGTCTTTTCTTACTTGGTGGGTCCGGTAGCTGCTGGGCCAGCCCCCTTCCAGTGCCAGCATGCCATTTCCTACTCAACCTGTGGAGGTTTCCCTTTGATGATGTCACATGTAAATACTTCAGTGTTGCATTCAAGGCTCTTTCTAATCTGGCCCTTCATAATCTGTTGCCCTGCTTCCCAGCTTGCTCTCTGTTCAGCAGCATGAGTCTCACATGTGTCATTTCCAGATGGGCCAGGGTGATTCACATCTCCTTCCTTGGCATCTGCTTTGCTGGCCTCCTCTCACTGTGCAAGGCCATCTGAACTCATCTCTAGCCCTAATTTAATTCCTCCACTAAACTCCAGCGTAAGTCTGGCTTTCTCCATGTATCCTCTGATGGCTACGGTCATTCATTTGTCTCTTTCTTCCTAGGTGCTCGGAATCTATACCATACCTTTTGACAGTGTGCATTTTTATCTAGCTAGTGTGTCTTGTTTCTTCAATAAAGTTGTAAGTTCTGTAAAGGAGAAGCATACCTATTACTTTTTTCCCTAGAGCCTGGCATAGTGCAGAACCACATACGTGTCCCAGAATTCATTGTTCAACAATTATATATTGAATAGTTGTGTGTTAAGAAACAGTGTACCAGACATTCAGCCTCCATTGTTAAATGGATCAGATAAAGTCCTTGCCCTCATGGGGCTTACAGATTACGGAAGGAAGCAGACATTAAATAAACACATGCTGTGAAAAGTGCTGTCAAGGAATTGGTGTGTTGCGATAAAGAATAGGGGCTACAGAGGGGATGGCCAAGGGAGACTCCTCTGAGGAGTAATGTTTAATAATGTCCTGATGCTAAAGTTTAGTGTCTGGGAGATAGAAGTGATACAGAATAATCCTCCCTTAAGCAGTCAGAAGGGAGAGTGGTATCCATCACACATCCTTCACCCCAATCGTTTTTATAAGGCAACCAAAAGTGGTTTGGTTCTAAAGGACTGTGGTTGCTGTGGAGTAAGTAGATCTCTCCAGGAGCTTCATAAAAGGACTGGGAGCCCAGAGGTAGAGATGGAGTGGTCAGAGAAGAGACTGGAAGGGAGCTTGAAGATGAGGACAGAGCTACAGAAGGTGCTGTCTTGCAATTCTTGATTTGGAGGAGAAATGAGATAAGGGAAAGGTTCAGGTGCTCAGAGGAAATAGGAGAAAATTAAAGATTTAACTGTTAAAGTTTCTTTTAAATACAAATTAAGTATCATACAAATTAAGAAATGAAGTTCAGAGGAAAGAATAATTTACTGCACCAATAGAACCATTTTAATAGAACAAATAATTTTTCATTTTATTGGTAGGTGGCTTTATTCAGAATTATGTTAAGATTATTTTTAAGCAGGAAACAAACAAGATTCAGCTCAAAGATGAGAGAATCACACAAAATTAAATATGGAAATTCTAGGTTGCTGGGATATGCTTTCTGTGATTATGTTTGGTTAGTGGCCAACAAGTGAATGCATCATTTCTTTTTTTTAGGGAATTTAGGAATAGACTGAGTTCTGTTAACTTATTTACATTGAAATTGTAGGTTTTAATGAAAATCTAGAGACCTAGGTTCAATTATATTTGTTTCAATATTATAAATAATAATAATAGCTAATATTTATTGAGTGCTTTACTAAATGCCCAACATTGAACTAAATGTTTTGCATTCATTCCTTGGTTATACCTTCACCACAGCAGCAACATTGTGAAGTAGGCACTGATTTTAGCTCCTGTGATCAACTCAGACATGTTGCATTGTGATGGGAGTCTTAGAACTTTGGTGTTAAGTGCTTCATAACTATCTTTAGGGTATTGATGCTTGCATGTTAGAAGATTGCTACACATTAAAAAAAATTGAGGTTCATGGGATTTTCATAGATGAATAGGTTTAAGCATATTGTAGTTGAAGGAGTCAAAAGAAATGGAAGTGATTTACCCAAGTTAATGTAACTAGATAGTAGCAGAGCTAGAACCAGAACCCAGATATTTGGTTCCTGGTCAGTAAAAAAAGAAGACAAAGAGCCAATTTTAGAAACTGAGAGTTACTAGGAAGAACAGTACTCTCGATGTTAAGAGATTTCAGTTCTAGGAGTGAATTTGCCAGAGACCAATGATCTCGATGCAACGCAACCTTTTGTCCCAAGTTTCTTTGGCAGGAAAGCAATCTCAGGGTGGGTCCAGCCTGATTTGCCAGCAAATACGTAAACCTAGGGCTCCCTGAGGAGAGGAGAAAATACAAAGACAGCTCTTTGTTACAAAGAAAGCACCTAGAGTAGTTTCTCTCTCAAGTTTACACCTCAATTTGGGAAACAAGATGCATCACTTTGTAATTATTCTACACTTACTCATGCATCATAATGTGTGAAGTGCATGTGTGTTAACATTCATACTGTGGAAATTGCCTCATTAGTAAACAGGCCAACCTGGCTGAAGCATGGTAGGTAGTATCTATTGTGAGGACAAAAAATGGCCTGCTGCAGAACTTTTAATATGTTTAAAAAATTGCAATCCACAAACTATTAGCAGTGTCTCCCCCCATATTTATTTTTTTAACTTGGAAAATATTTATTGAAAATGTAAGCCCTTAGAAATTTAATGGCTTTGAAAGTTCAATAGTAGTGTATAAAAGCTGGGAATGGCATCTTGAAGGAGATGAACCAAGAATCTGGGAATGAAGAAAGCAGGGCATGTGACTTCCCAGAGGATTTGAGAAAGGCAGGCTTGGTGGAGGCAACCACAGGTGGGCCAGAGGCGTGAGTGGGGGCTGGTGCAGCAGAGGGGGGATGGAAGACCTTTCTGCTTTGTATTTGTCTTAATAATGGACTGACCACTGCATGTCAAATATTGCTCAGGGTTAGAGTTTGCTTAACTTTTTACAACCCTGAAATAATATAAATGTTGTCTCCACATTATCTTTCGTAAGATTTGCCTTCTCTAGCATGTTTTCCTCAGAAATTGCCTGTTTGCTTGCTGATGAGGTTGGGAATGTTGTTAAATCCTGTTTCATTAAATTCTACATTTAACCCTTTTCCATTTAGACGGTAATTGCAATAGCTTCCCTGGGTACGTTAACTCCATTTAACAGGGAAAAATAGGCTTGTGTGTCTCAGCCATCAGTCACAGGGTTATCCGGTCTTTTGTAATTGGGCAAGAGGAAGCGTTGAGGAATATTGATGAGAAGACTGTGGGGGTAGGACTCTAGATTCGATTTAAAAAACTCTGATGTCCTCTCTTGATTAGGTTCACTGGTTTTTCCATGCAATGCAGGGACAATTCTAAGGTAGCTCACTTTATTGGCTAAAAGAATGCTTTTTGCATTGCAAGCGCACCTGCTTTTTGCCGTGTCTTGACTTTATGAAGTAAGAATACCTCCCAGTTTTAAAGTACTCTAAAGTGTTAGGCCCACATATATTTTATAAATTACTAAGTGAAATGTTTTTCTTCTCTAGCGCCTTGGAAAGGAAAAATGCCTTTGTTTATACCTGTGAGACATAATTCTTGGGTATGTAATGCATGTAAGTTCAGATATTGCGTGTATTGGTTTCATTTTTCCCAAGCAGTATTGTATTTTGAGAGCTCATATGTCTTACTTTGCCCAGTAGTATCAAATCTTTTTCTCCTTTATCTATTTATTTTTGCAGTTACTGAGTAAATATTATTCACCCTGTTTCTGAGAAGATTCAGTAAAGGTAGGAAACTTAAAAATGTTCATTCCAGAGGTTTTATGAATTATTTCTACTTCATGGATTGATTGCTGATCAGCTGAATAAATCATCTGTCTTTGCCTTCTTTTAATGACTGAATCTAGTCACCATTCATTGTCGTTTGGGTATTTGGATGTCCAGCCTAAATCAATAGCCTATCTAGTTTACTGAGAGACAAGTATAGATAAAAATTATCATTGTTTTAACAGAGGACACGGTCTTATCACCAAGGAGAATATCTTCAGAGTCTCTAATAGTTTAGCAATCTGCAAACTGATTACAATTGGACAATACCCAGAGACCCCTTAACATTCTAATTGTATCCTCATGGAATAAATTTATTTCTATCCTAATATTGCTTAGAAAAGAAATTGCATATTCTGTGTTAATGTGCTGATATTCCATCCACCTCCCCCATTCAGTAGTAATATTTTTCTTCAGCATTTTACAAATGAAGGTAAAATTGGTATTTGTAGTATAATTTCCTGTATACATTTCCAGTTAATTGAATTTTGCTTCGGTAATGTATGGCTCTGAATGAAAGATACATGTGTGAGTAATATCAGCAAGGGAAGTTTAATTTCCATTCAGCTTGAGTTCTGCTTATTTCTATGTGTTCTTTCTTCCTACTTTGCTGCCTGTCATTTCCCTTATCCATGAAGATGACTGGAAAATGTGCCATGGTTACTGATGGTTGTACAGGTTCCTTCGTCCTAATGGAATGTGACAAAACATAGAAACGGTTAGATGGACTCCACCTATACAGGTTGGGAGATGGCAAAGCAGAAAATAAATGAGGAAAGTAAAAAGTTGAAACATACTTCTTAAAATCTTCCATAGTGCTTTTATGTGGGGGAATATGTTTGTGTTAAATTATATGAAGAATATGTACAAGTTTAGTGTATGCATGTATATATTTATGTTATGGATACTAGTGAACTTTGGATGATCGGTTTGCATTTTCCAGTCCAAGGTAACCTGGTGCTGCCACTTCAGGACCTGCTGGTCATGCTGAAGAGAAGCATTAATTGGAATATATTCAGCATATAAAGAGAGCTGAGGAATAGGAGTAATTGAATACAGGCTATGTTTTTCTGCTTTTAAAAATTTGTATCATGAAAATATATAGGTTACACAGTTGGCTTTTAGGCATAATTGTGGACATACCTTTGATTCTTCAGCTAAACATTTTAGGTTGGCCTGTCCAGACTAAAAAGGAATGCAGTTCCATTCTCGAGAAAAACAAAGTGTTACAAAGACTGGCCTATTTCCAACCAAGTTTTATGTGAGCTTAAATGTGTTAATTGTAGAACTGTTAAGGGTTTTTTCCCCTGCTTTCCTTTTAAATCAATATCAAATTAAACCTAAGTAAGTGGAATTGTCAAGGCAACAACTAGCATATAGTTTTTCAAGGAAAACACTTGACTGAGGAAAGAATAACCAGTATTGTTAAAATGAATTTGCAGAAAAGCAGCATTTTGTAAAATAAGCATTATGAGCTTGCAGGGTGTGGTGGGAAAAAAGCCTAGTCTTTGAGTTCGAGCACTGCCTAATGGTTCCTTCATTAGTGACATTTGCATGCATCCTGGGGCCCGACATTGTACTCTGGTTTAGGAATGCAGTAACAAATACATTTAGCTGGCAGAATGGCTCACACTTGTAATCCCAGCCGATTAGGAGGCCAAGGTGGGAGGATCACTTTAGCCTAGGAGTTCCAGACTAGGCTGGGCAACATAGTGAGACCTAGTCTCTACAGAAAATTAAAGAATTAGCTGGGCATGGTGTTGCACACCTGTAGTCCCAGCTACTTGAGAGGCAGAGGCAGGAGGATTGCTTGAGCCCAGGAGTTCAAGGCTGCAGTGAGCTATGATTGTACCACTGCACTCCAGCCTGAGCGACAGAGCAAGACTCTGTTAAAAAAATAAATAATTAAAAATTCTCACAACAGCTTGCAAGGTAGGTGGGGAAACTACCTTGCAAGTAGCCTGGATGCCATTGATGGCATGTTGATGGTGGCAGGAGGCAGACAAGTTCCTGGGTGGGAAGGGGTGGGTCCCTGTTAAAACCCTTCCTTCAAGCCAGGAGCAGCCTGAAGCCTGGGGACTGGGCTGCTAGTTCTGGGGGAAGTCCACAGCCTGGAGTGAGAACTTCCCTGATGGCTATTCAGCCAGTCAGATGGTGGGAAATATAGCTTCCTTGTTTGATAGATGGGAAGTAGCAGGACTGGGACTTGAATGTGGTTCATCTGATTTCGAATCTGTTTTCACTGATGTATCGCATGGCCATATGTATCCATCTCAACTGGATGCTGTAGCCAATGAGACAATGGATTTGTAAACACATGTTAAAGTGTTTTTAATCTAAAAGCTGGCCTTAATATCCAGAGTTTTAAAAGATTTGTAGGCCAAATGGTGAGCTAAGCAACCCTGCATTTTCCTTTAAAGATTCTGTTACAAGTCAGTTTAGCTTTATGTAGACCCTATAAGTCATAACTTAAATTCTGATGCATTTTTTGTCATCACGTATTCATTGAATCATTCCATTTGTCATTTGGCCAACATTGATCGATATTGTTCCATGTCTTTCATAGACTCTAGAGATGCAAAGATGAAGAAAGCATAGTCTTCACAAGCAGCTTACAGCCAAACAAGAGATCCATAAATAAATAATGATAATGCTGTGCAGCGCATGTGCCAGCAGAGGTGTGAATAACGTACTGAGGGGATGACCTCACAAAGAGAACGAGACATTTGTTCTGGGTGTCTTAGGATGAGTAGGAGTTTGCTGGGTGGGAAAGTGGAAGAGTGGCACATGAAAGTGCTACATGTGTGGCCGGGCGTGGTGGCTCATGCCTGTAATCCCAGCACTTTGGGAGGCCGAGGTGGGGGGATCACCTGAGGTCAGGAGTTTGAGACCAGCCTGACCAACATGGAGAAACCCCATCTCTACTAAAAATACAAAATTAGCTGGGCATGGTGCATGCCTGTAATCCCAGCTACTCAGGAGGCTGAGGCACGAGAATCGCTTGAACCTGGGTAGCGGAGGTTGCAGTCAGCCGAGATCGCGACATAGCACTCCAGCCTGGGCAACAAGAGTGAAACTCCGTCTCAAAAAAAAAGAAAGTGGCATATGCTTGTGAAGACATTGAGATGTGGCTCACTGCTAAACATTATCCACAGATGGGTATTTAGCCTCTTTCTTCTTCAAAACCAGAGGATATGGGATTATAAAAGTCAAGTCTCACATCATCTCCAACCTGACCATAACCAGGACTTACTTAGAGAACATCTGTAAGTATTTAGTGAAACTTCACTCCATGTTGTCTGCAGTATCTTGAAATTTGTGGTAAATACAATAAAGCTGGTATGACTTGCCTGACCACGGTCTAGGAAACATTGTCTTCATTTGCAAGTCTGTAGTTTTTGTAAGCCTCGGGAAGGATATTAATTTGGGGGATTAAACTATTTTTTTGATGGTAGCAAATATTTTAGAAACATTATATACAAATAATTATCTTGCTAATTACTAAAATAAAAGTAATATAATTAAATTCTGTAATTCAGACTTGTCAGTAATGGTGATTGGATTTCCCAACTCCTGTGTGCATTTCTAAAGTTAATTTCATTTAATAAAAGAATGTGTCTTCTTGAAAGCTTAATTTCTCTTAGCACCAGACTATTGCAGTCAGACTTTCAATATTACTGCTTTGCTAAAATGTGAAAAATCATATGTTAGCATGTAGCATTTTTTTTTTTATTGCAGTAAATATGCTGAGTTAATAAGTTTTGGGAGAGTAGTATTTCCTCTGATCCTCTAGTCATCCCTAATGTATATCAGCCAGGATTAGATTCAGTGGCAAGAAATGCAACGTGAACATAGTGGCTTTACCCTAATAGAGGTTCTCTGTATTCTCATTGAAGGAAGCATGAGGTGGGCAGTCCGCAGCTGGTACAGTGATTCCGATGTTCCTTTGGGAAATCCAGACCCTTCTCTCCTGACATTCACTCATCCTTGGCATGTGCGTGTTCCCTCTTGGACTTCAGATGATTGCTCCAGTTCTAGTAATTGCATCTGCCTTCCATGCGGGGTGAAGGGGGAAGGGAAAAGACATGCTCCCGCTGTCTGCTTGGCTAGAAGCCCCTCTGGCCACTGTTTAAATTCCTGTCACTGGCCAGGACTGTTTTGTGGCTACTCATAGTTACAAAGGAGTCCAGGGAATGTAGATTTATGTTTTTTCCTTTAGTTTTTTGCCAGGCAAGTTGCTCTTCTGAAATAACTCTGAACTCGGCTAATGAGAAAGAAAAGGAGGATATTTGGTGACTGCCTATAGTATTTGTTGCACTACCCGCCCTATCTAAGGGTTTTCAGATCTGCCTGTTCAGAGCCTAGGTCTTTCATGCATTTACCACATCACCTTTGGAGATGGCATTAATATTTCATCTGGCAAGAGAAAGACCAAAAAAGAAAACTCAAAGCCAAAGTGGACACCTGTATTTGCCCTTCGTAAGTTAGGAAATGAAATGTGCTACAAAAAAGAATTTAATATTTTTAACCAAAGGTTACACTCTGAAATATTTAGCAGTGATTGAATTCCAAGAACTGTGGTCAATTTTATTAATAGGTCCACCTAAGTTTTTGTTTTGAAAGAAACAGTGGGATGTCATAATATTCTCTGTTATAAGCTAATATACTTTTTGGATGCTAACCAAACCAAAAGAGAGTCATGCATTATAGGTGATACTTCTTTGGTGGTGATAATCAAAACAAGTAGGTTTGCCCTATACTGTGCCCAGTATTCAGTGTACTAGTTAATCCTTTTTTTTTTTTTTTTAAATGAGCACTTAGCCACTATTCTAGGCTCTGGGGATATAGCAGTGAAGAAAACAGACATTTCTGCCTTCATAGACCTTGAAATGTAGACTGTTGAGTGGATTCTATATTATCTGATCATTGGGGCTATTTAAAAAAACACACACAACACTCTTTGGACTATTCTTATTGCCCTTCCATTTTGCTTTCCTGTCTTTCAGAGTTTTGTTGGCTATATGTGAGACATACTGGTTAATTAAGTTATAGTCTTCCATTTCAGAGAGGCAATCAAAAGTTTTGAGAGAAAGACTTGTCTTTAGAGTCTGTCAAATCATTTCATTTTAAGCTCTTCATTTCACATTTCCGTCATGTAAAGTATCTTAATTACAGAATCTTTTTTATTTTCTAATTAAATATTATAATACAGTTAAGGAGTTTAGTTATGTAGACACTTCATAATATGCCTAGGAACACTTAGTATTCTGAACTTCGAACAATCCACAAACAGTTTGTTTTAAAGATAAAGGGGCAGTAGTATTTTAAAAGCTATAGTTTAGTAATTAGAGTGGGAAGCATGCCGGGTGCCTTTTATTGTTTCCATCTGTTTAAAGATAGTGAAAATAAGAAATTGAAAAAAAAAATCTTCCAGGAGACTCTAGATTATTAGCCACAGAATATTCCCTTCTTTTTTTTTGTTTTTTTTTTTGTTTTTGAGACAGAGTCTCTGTTGCCCAGGCTGGAGTGCAGTGGCTCAGTCTTGGCTCACTGCAACCTCAGCCTCCCAGGTTCAAGTGATTCTTCTGCCTCAACCTCCCAAGTAGCTAGGATTACAGGTGCCCACCATCACACCCAGCTAATTTTTGTATTTCTAGTAGAGACAGGGTTTTACCATGTTGGTCAGGCTAGTCTCGAACTCCTGACCTCAGGTGATCCACCCGCCTTGGCTTCCCACAGTGCTGGGAGCCACCGTGCCTGACCTCTTTGGTAATTGTGGTCTTTGCTTGCTGGGCCCTCAGGATTGTGTATTTGTGCTTATGCTGTATGCCACCCACCTCAGTGCATGTATGTATACATGGATTGTTTTAGTATCCTAATCACAAACTCCTTTTTAGGAATGGTCTTCTTTGTGACACATTTATTTTTTAGGAGTGGTCTTCATCTATTACTGATTTCTTAGCAGTGAACAAAACAGACAAAATTCCTGCCTTCATGGAGTTTCAAATGTAAAAAGGAGACAATTAAACTTAATTTAAAAAATTGATGTGAAATGGAGAAAAATAAAGCAGGTTAAGGGAGACAGGGAGTGATGAGAAGAGTTGCTGTCTTTTACTGGTCAGTTATGGGAAGTATCCTTGAGATGATAGCATTTGAATAAAGAGCTGGAGGAAGTGAGGGGTGATTCACATGGATGTCAGGGGAAAGGGTGTTCAAGGCAGAGGCAGCAGAAGGTGCATAGCCCTGAAAGGGGCATGTCTGACTTCTGACTTGTTCAAGGAACAGCAGTGGAAGCCACTGTGGCTGGAATAGAGTGGGCAAGGGACATTATCAGAGCAATAATGGGACCGATTCTATAGGACCTGTGGGCCATTGTAAGAACTTTGCTTTTTATACTGGTTAAGAAGAAAAGTCAGTGGAAGGTTTTGAGCAAAGGAATGAAAGACATTTCTTGAGTCTTAAAACAAAGATCACTCTGGCTACCATGTTGAGGATCGATTGTGGGAGGCCAAGGTGGAAGGAGGAGACCAGCTGGAGTTACTGCAGTGATACGCAGGAGTGGGGATGGTGTTTGAGCCAGGGTGGTGGTGGTGGAGGTGGTGAGAAGTAACCACAGTTGCATCCCATATGCATTTTGAAGATGAATTCAAAGATTCACTGATGGACTGGATGTGTAGGGTGTAAGAAA